CCTAAATATCTCCATCAATTGTGACGATACAAAAAATATTTTATACGTAAATTGAATGGTATGAAGAGACCAATATTACAAAAAAGTCACCAATATGTTTCAAAGTCTTTTTTTTCGGAGTTTTCAAGGTCATTAATGTTTTTTTGCATTTTTTGCGGCTTGATAGTTTAGCGGAGGCTTAAAACACCTCGATTCGAATCCTGACTTAATAGTATATATATATATATATATATATATATATATATATATATAAGTATATAGTAAATATAATAATATTATAAGGATATAATAAATATAAATAACTAGCAATTAGTATAATTTAATAAAAAGGAAGATAAATGAACAAATTGAAAAATGAAAATGAAAATAGCGATTTATGAGGTATGTGGGGGCTGTGCGCCGCTATTTCAATTCACCGCGATACTGTTCCTTGCGCGCGAGCGCGTGTTAAAGTGCGCGCGTTGCAGCGTCGTGGGAAACCGTCGGCGGTCACGTCGAGTCTCCCGACGCTGAATCTCCCGCAGGATTTTCACACTCGTTTATTGGACATTTCTCACATCACCGCAGTGATCGCTCGACTCACGCCGAGATCTCCGCGCCGGAAATCTTCGCGGGCGCTTCAGTCAAGTGCATAATCGTGTCATAGCGGAGAGGAACGGTGCGGAGGAATAAAAGATAACCAGTCTCGCATGAGTACTTTACACCAGGGTACATTGTATTTCTTGGTCCTCTAACATTTATAGTATACACAACATACAGGTATGAAGTGATAGTGATGCAGCTCTCGGCTCGTTCGTCACGTTACATGCTCCGTCAATCGAGATCGACAGGTGAAACGAATTCGTCTACAGTCGGTTGACTCTCTCTCTCTCTCTCTCTCTCTCTCTCTCTCTCTCTGGCGGACCTCTTATTATTAAATTGACAATATCGTCGACTCAACTCGCACATTCGTATCACGCGGGCTCTTATCTAAAGTTAAATACACATACACACGCATTGCTTCCGAGAGTTTCCCGCTTTTCCGTGGTGAAGCCGAGCTATGTAACTGCCGAGATTACAACCTTACGATACGACGGAGCTATTTCTTTTTTTCTTTTTGTTATTTTTTTGTTTTTTTATATTTTTTTAACACGAGTACGCATCTACATGTTAAACACACGTCGCAGCGCGTCGTGAAAAACAATCAGAGATCACGGTCAGCGCTGAACTCGCTCCGTAATTTCTAGAAGTGTTTCAGCTCGACTTTCTAGAAATGTTTTACGCCACTGCTACGTATGCGCGTATTAGTACTTTCGTAATTACGACCTCCGAATCGTCGTGTTAGGATGGTCTTTCTCTTTTTTCCTGCCTTCTTCTCTACTCACTCCTCTCCTTGCTCCAACTGCCTCGCGACACATCGCCGAGGCAGACAGTTCGCATCTCTTCGCGTCTAGTCAATGGAAGGACATAGGAGTTTAAGATTCGAAGATCTCTTACTTCAAGGAGACACAAACATATTTTGCTTAAGTTTTATCGGAGAAAAACATGCGCTATCTATGTTGCTATTCGGACGTGATAACGTCTTTATCTAGTGTATTTTCTCTATGCTAACTCTATGCTAAAAGTAGGCTAAAACGATCGCGACTTCGCGCTCGCGTCCCCGAAAGCTCGTCAAGCTTCTCTATTTTAGAACTTTCGCGCTCTTGGCCGCCCGCTTTGGCGGATTTCTGCACGTCTATCGACGCGACCAGCACTTGATCGCGCGAACGAATCGACCTTTCATCGATCGCCCAGATCCGCGCGACACCGCTTAGCACGAAAATCCCGCACCGATCGATATCGAGTAGATGTACAACCATTTATTTACATCTAACCGCTATTTACACATAACCACAGTAATTGCGTCTGTTAAGGAGCGAAGGAGTCGACACCTCAGTGAAGACAGGTATGTACTATTCTTCACTTCATTTTACTTCAATATTGGCGCTCCAGGCTTCCCAAGAAATCCGCCCCAACGCCATTAACCATTCCGGATGTATTATTCGAATATGATGTATTAAATACACTTTTACGTTGTGCAACCGATCGCTCGCGATTGATGATAACAATAATCGCACGCGATACATCGCTTTAATCCTAAGCGGATCTGTTAAAATCCGCGAAACGATATTCTGGCGAAATCCGACGAAAACATTATTCATTATTTAATTTACGATGGTGGTACGCTAAATATGTTTGCGCGATTGATATTATGTCGACTGGTACAGCGTAAGAATATTTAGAATTATGTACACGTGGTCCGTGGTAAAGACTAAAAGAAAAAATATCTGAAGAATAGTAAAAATATTTATTTTGTGAGTATACTAATAACTAATTTACTAAAATATGAATTTAAATAGACCAAACAATTGCCTTCATGAAAAGTTAAGGTTTTTTAACTTATGGTTTTAACACCTTGATTGGCGGAAATGCAATACTACATCTTGATATTTCTGATAGTTCGATATTTCTAAAATTGCGTAACCAAAAATTTTTAAGGTTGTTTTATTCAATGGTTCAATTTCAAAGTTCAAGATAACGAATGTAATATGGTCGACTTAAAATTTAAAAAGAATGTAAAATTTAAAATTTAAAAAGAATGTAAAAATTTTATAAAAAATTTAAAATTTATTTTGAGGTTTTCAAGATCGCTCTGTGTTCTCTCAATAATGAATTTTAAAAATAAAAATTATCATCTTTCTCGCCATATTGGCTTCATCATTTTAAATTTGAAAAATTTTGGTTTTGTAAACACAGTGACATCAAAAACCCCTAGACACCAAATTTTAATAACATTAATTTTTGACATTGTCATTAATTTAATTTTTGAAAATCTACTTTTTGTCATCTTAAGCATTTTTTAAAATGAAGCTTGCCAGTGAAGGGATTAAAAAAATATATATTTTCTTATATGAAAAATATTCTATATTAGTAGAAATAAACATGTGTATGTTATTAGTATCCACTCAAAAAAATATTTACTTTTTTCCTTCAATGCACACTGCAAATCCAAATGTAATTTTGACCGAATTTCTTTTTCTTAAGTTTTCTTCAATTTTTAGCCCACGTCACTTAACACGTTTAAACGTATTAAATTATAAGTTACATGTCTTAAACGTGTTAAATGATGCGATTTCAAATGGTAAGAAACGTATAAAGAGAGCTTCAGCCAAATTACACGCTTATGCGTCTAAAAGTAACACCCTTGGATTTGCAGCGCGTTGTGTGAGAGTAGGAATATCTAAAAGATAAAAAATATTTATTCGGTGAATACTAATAACAAATGCACCCTCATAGGCGTATCTTTTCATTGAGAAAATATTTTGTCTTGTTTTTTTCAAGCAACATACATTTTCTAGAACTGTGTATATGTGTGTGTATCTTTTCATGGAGGCAATTATTTGTTCTATTTAAATGAAAGAATTTAGATTTTAGTAAATACGTTATTAGTACCCACTGAATATAAATATTTCTTATTTTTTACATATTTCTTCTCTCTCTCAGTGTAACTAATGCGCAGTCCTAAGGAGGCTACCGCTAATAATCGATTAAGGGTCTTGGGACACAAAAGGGACGTTTGAACTATCAAAGATCAGTGCACGTGCTATATGTGAGAACAAATGAATTTTATCGTGCACATCTTTTTTTCTTCTAAGTGATAATATCTCACGAAAGCCGAAGAGTACGATCGATTAAGCAAACACATACACACACAATCACATGCACATACACACTTTGCGCGGGCATTAAATGCTGATGCGTCTCGGGGCAAAGTTGCACTCGTTGCAATCTCTTTTACTCTTCAGGATCCCCTGATTTGAATCCCTCAATTTTCGACCTCCCGCGCGCATCGCGTCCGTCGCGCGAGAAAAAAGAATCGCGCGGACGATCGAGCTTTCGCTCGTGAAATTTTATTGAGAGAACAATCATGCTGCTCTCCCGCGCGCCGATTTCATTGGCCTCGCGATATTTCCGCTCGACCGCAAAACACACGTATCGAATATACGCGTCTTCCGGTGAAAAGGAGAAAAAACGAGAGAAAGGAAAAACGATTGCCGGCGCGATCGATATCATACTCTGCCTCGTGACGAGTATCAGTCGTTTTACGTTTTCGCGCGCTTCAAAGCTTTTGCTCGATAGAAAACCGTTACAAAAACGATAGAAAAATTTAGTCGTAACGAATTCTGTGTGATGCGCTCGAAATAGACGCGACTTCGTATTAACATACGTGTAGAGTTCACGAATTACGATAGAGGAAAGTTGTACGGTAGCGTTTGTCTTCCACACACAGTATAGAATCGGGTATTGCAGCAGAGCCAACGTTTGGCCGACCTATTCGGCTATATTCAAATCGTGACCCCACGCTTTTAATCCGTAACTTACTTTTATTTATAGATTATTCATTTATCTTTAGGTCTGTCTCTCTCTCTCTCTCTCTCTCTCCTTCTTGTTGGGAACTCGATTTATGTTCCAATGTACCGCAAAATTCATCAATAAAACAGAGAAACGAGTTTCTCCGCGTAATGTACACACAGCTCTTTTTCAGATAATATAAACAATACAGGATATTGCAAATTATATTAAAACATACACAAAAGAGAGTAATCACATCATGACATATTCGTCGTGCGCATTTTGGATATTAATGATATATGTAACGTTTAACAAGGATGAAAAATTGCGCAAGATTTTCATTTCATTATGCGACAGACTGGTGGATTTAACTCTGAAGGGGTAAGAGAATGGGTAATTAGAGAATCCTGTGGTCTCGAACTTGATTAACGTTGGAAACCACGTTTATAAATTCACATCAGGATTCTAAAGAGGTCAGATAAGAATGTAAACATTTAAAAATTGATCATTGAGCAAGCCATACTTTCTGTGTGTAAGTGACATCTATAGATTATTCATTATCTAGATAGATGACGTCTCATACATGATTACGTTGTCTGCAGACGTAAAATATTATAATTTACGTGTAAACGTTCAATGTCGAGTGTGCAATATGCATTCTCAATGCTAAGAGAAAAAAATTTGATCTAACTCAAATAACAGTTATTGTTGGCTCCAACCATATTTTTTTTGTTCTAACAGGAGAACGGTAACAGTGATGTGCATATAACATTACTAACAATATAGCAGAATTTAATATTATAGAGAAATCGTTTTATTAATCATGATTTATAGAAATTATTTTTTTATATGATTATATAGTTATCAAGCATTTTTTTCATTGCACACATTGCACCGCGTGCGCTTCTACCAGAGAGAGTCGGCGACAAAGGTCCCGCACGCACACCGCCTTGACACATACACAGAAAAATACATACTACATTCAAGAAAATATTACTTCTTGCAAGTTTATACATTCGCAAATCTATTAAAGCATTCAAAACAAACAAAAAATAAGGCAAGTAAGAGCCAACCGCCGATTGTAAAGGCAAAATTCACAATGTAATAAAAGCCAACGTGATATATTGATTCATATTTACAAAAAATTAGACGTTACGGACCCTCTTCAGTGATAATTACAAAAAACATACTTTCAAAATCGCTCAAGTCGCGTTGAAAAGCTTATGAACCACGCAACGGCAAACCATGTCGAGCGAATTTTTTTATTGTTTTGATTATTTTGTCGAGAGAATTTTTTGTAATTGCATTATCACTGAAGAAGTTTCGAACTTGGATCGAAATGTCTGAATTCGTGTAAATATAAATTAATGTATTACATTGGCTTTTATTAAATTGTGAATGTCGCCTTTATGATCGGCCTTTATGATTAGCTCTTATTTGCTTTATTCTTTGCTTGTTTTGATTGCGTCTCAAGAGCCTTTAATTTCTTAATTTATCAAAGAATCATCGTAAGCATCAAATTTATTCAAACTACATTCTGATTCGCAGTAGCATTTCAATGAAGAATATTAAATTAAAACGAAAATTCGTTTTGCTTGCTACACAGAGTCGAGATAATGTTTTCTTTGATAAAGTTTCATGATGTTCTTATAAAGAGAAGGAATTTCTCTTTTGAGCATATGTTATTAAGCTTTTCTCAAACTTAGCATATTTATAAAGCTGTTGTCAAGGAAACATTCTCTGCTAAAGACAACCATTACTTCAAAGAAGGAAGGTAAATTAAGTAATCTCATTTCTTAGCAGTAGAATCATATTTTCTCTGTGTACAATCATATTTTTTGAAATACACAAATTACGTTTGTCAGCTTTGGGCAGCTTTGAATCACCATGACTGTCGAAAATTAATATTTTTGGACACATTTTCTTCCAAAGATGTAGAAGAACCTCAGCTAAAATAAAAATCTGCTAACAGATTTGCTGTTCTGAAATTTTCCCGGACCTTTTATGAAATTCGGTGAGCAATCGAATATTTGTTCGAGTCTCACAGACTCCACATTGTATGCGGTAGCTTAAAAAAAAAACTGCCTCGGCGCAAAAAATCGACGTAGGAATGTGAAAAACAAGCACCATTTTTCTCGGTTTTTTGCGCCGCACGCGTTTTACGCTCATCGTATGTTTTACCTTTATCGTAACACGTATTTCACGCGTACGATATACGACACGTGGTAAACGCGCGCACAAAGACGTCAAGATCTATTTAGACGAGGAAATGGAGAATGTGTCGGGGGAGTTTTTATTTCCTTCGAAAAATTTGTGCGACTCGTCGTTACTTCGCTCTCGTGATTGATGTGACGAATGCGAATGCTCGGCCAAGAATTGGCTGCTGCTGCTGTTGAACCTAAACTATTATACGACTGTGATCGAACGCCGGGCCAATATTGGCTCCGGCCGTTTCGTAAATCGATATGTCGGGCCGACATCGAAAATTTGGCATCTAGTAGTGGCCCGCCCTATATCGTAAAATCCTACACGGGATAACGCGTTTCCCGAATTTCCCTTACACACGTACATACTACATTACGTTTCAATCCGCTCGACTGGCAGCGCTAAAATAGCAAGCGGAAAGAAAACACGTTTTGCTCAGATGTCAACTCAATCGCGTAAATATCTGATAATATAATATTCGACTAGAGTTGCGATATTCTCGTTTTATTCACGTCTAAAATAGTGACTAGTAACTTTAATGTGCGGTTCTCTCGCGCGCTTCAATCGGCGCGGATCAACGCTATAGTGTGACACGTTATTAACATCGACTTTACACACTTTACACACTACTTTCTGCTTTGTATGTCGTTAGGACCATGTGTGTTAGATGTCGAATGCCTACAGCATCCGTCCGTTTACAAATCGCCTATGCTAAACGTGACAGCACGAAACGGCTGAGTACGACGATAGATGTAAGATGAAAATAGTTCCGTTGATAGTTATTATTATTATTTTTACTTACGATTACTAACCATCGTTGTAGTTATTATAAGTCACGCAACGCAATGAGATCTCCGGTCGAAGCAATCTCCACGTGTCAGGCGTTGCCGAAAAGTAGCGATTGTTCGTCGTCTCGCGAAGGAAAATAAAGCCGCGGCATGTGTCCGCGGGGGAAAATTCAATCCGGGATTTGCGCTTCTAACTTTTCGGTTAGCGACGTTAACCCTCAGTGCGCACACACACACACACACACACACACGCTCCGTTCCAAAATCCTACTCGACGCACAGTGTGCTAAAAAACACATTTGGTGGACAAAATTCTGCATCGATTTTGATGAAACTTTTTTTAAAATACTCATGAATAGTTCTAATATCTCACTGCCAAAAATTTGAAAAAAGTAAATATAACCCTAAAAAATAACCCCATTCCTTGTTACCCCTAATTACTTCAAACTTCATAACACCATGGTTTGAAACTTCATCATTCCAAAACTTATAGTCCCATAACTCGTAAATCTGATTACCCACGAGTTAAAAACCCCATAATCCGAAACTCCATAACCCCGTTATGGGATTATGGAGTTTGGGATTATGGGGTTTAAGGTTATGGGGTTTTCAACTCGTGGGTAATCAGATTTTGGAGTTATGGGACTATAAGATTTAGAATGATGGAGTTTTGGACCATGGTGTTATGAAGTTTGAGGTAATTAGAGGGGTAACAAGTAATGGAATTTGGGGTTATTTTTTGGGGTTATGTTTACTTTTTCAAATTTTTAGCAGTGAGACATTATAATAAAATTATTCACGAGTATTTTAAAAAAAGTTTCATCAAAATCGATACAGATTTGTGATGTAGGCAGAATTTTGTCCACCAAATGTGCTTTTTGGCACACTGTGCGGCGCGTAGAATAACATTCAATTAGGCAATCACGAGAAAGAGAGATGAAGAAATCTTAGTTCTCTTTATCCTAATTGATCAATTAAATTTTACTATGCCTGTCGAGTAGAGTTTTGAAACGTAGCATGGATAGTGTAATCCTGTTTGTTTTTCAGACATGCGGCGTTTAAAAGCAATACGAGGTTTTTAGTAGGGCGCTGAGGTTTGAGGAGGAAAAACTTGTGTATTCCCTCCATAAATCCCCTATTCGGCAGCCTGAGTGCGCTGTAAACAGTCGAGCCAGAAGATCGACAGTTGATTGCGAGGGTTAGCGTAACCCAGTATATGTGAGTAGCAAGAAAGTCAATAAATTTTGAAAACTAAAAATATAGGTTAAAGTGATTTATTAAATTATTTGTAATTTCGTATATGTAACTCATAAAAAGTGAAATACATTAATATTATGTTGTTATTCAATGAAAAAGGTATCAGAGGTATAGCGCGTGGCTTGACGTGTTTTTTTGAACCACAAAGCGTATTTACATAAGCGTACTAATAAGCGTAATAACTGTTTTTAAATTAAAAATGAGTTTTGCCAATAGAAATAAAATAAATACATATCTTTTAAGCAATATTTCATTGACTTATTAATGTGTTTATTTAACAGTAAAGCAAACTTAGCGTCTCGTGTTAAAGTCCTCGACTGTTTTTCAGTAGAGTATGCTTACTTTGTAACAATAAATGAATAAATATTTTAAAGATAAATTTCAAATATGTCTGAATTTTCTGACAATTTCAATATGTCTGTCTTTTCTCGGCACAATAATATTGATAAGGCCAACATTTAAATTATAAACATTTTCTATATAATAATCATAAAAGCATTTTATTTATCTTTCTTATATTTATTTTCATCAAAAAACAGCAATTTTCGATTATAAACTTATTTTTGCTAAAACTATGAAATCACTTAATTTCACCTCGCTGTAAAAATATATTTTTTAGAATAAATCATAATACCAGTTTTTTAAATTAAATTTCAACTCTTTAGCTATTCATTTGTCACTTTTAAGACTTTAAAAAATGTCATTTTTTTTTAATTACAACAATTTGGAACAAAACGGTTTTTTCACAATTTCAAAATCTTTTCTTTACTTATTGCAAAATATCTTTTGTATCGGGATATTTCTAACTTTCTAATTCATATAATTTTATTCTTTAATCTTTATAAGCTATCGATTAAAAAAAAAAAACATTCACATCGATGAACTAGAACCCGTGTAACAAGAAAAGAAAATACGCTAACGAAAATAAGGGTTACGCTAACTCTTGTATGTATGTAAATAGGGACAAATTTGAATGCTGAATGTGTGCACTGAGTGTTAAATATTGCAATTATGAAATCGCAAATTAAATCCCGCGAGTGGCAAAGTTTGCCACCAAACGAAAAATGAAATCATGCTAATTTCTTCTCCCGCAACTCCATTTTATTCTCTCCCTCTCTCTCTCTCTTTCTCTCTCTCTCTCTCTCTCTCTCTCTCTCTCTCTCCCCGTATTAAATTAGCTAGTACTAAATTAAATTAGTTATAAATTATAATATAATTTTGAGAAATAACAAGATTGCATTATCGCCGTTTTCTTCCTCTATTTTCCCTTCTTTTCTCTTTCTCTCTCTCTCTATCTCTCTCCTCTTGCTAGAAATATCAAACGGAGAGTTTCAGCATTAGTTTCGACTAGCTGATATTCTCGGTCGTCACTCTTCAACAAATCAACGATGTTCGAGGTGAAATAGACCCGTCGGGGGTTTTATTCCCCGAAAGAAAAAAAAAAAAGAAAGGTATGACACGAGTGACGTTTGTCAGCGGACAAAGAGTGAGCTTTATGTTCGCGGAAGAACGAAACTCACAACGCGGCAAGCGTGTTACGGCAAAGCCCGCTATTTCGGCGACCAGCGCGTCCACGTAGAGGAAATGGGAAAAACTTGGCGACCCGGACCAGCCAGGGGAATCGAAGGCAATCGGAATTAGATCGGATACAGCTCGCTCGCACAGAGGATAAAGACGGTTAACGAACGCGCCCTAATTTTTCCAGATCAACGAGGAGACGTTCCCAGCCTTTGCTGACGTCGCTTATGTAGACGGCTCGACAGTCCGAGTTACCGAAAATCGCACAAACGGCTATTTCGTACTTACGTCCAAGTCACGCGTGTTTGATCTTTCAAATTCCGTCGAATCTCTCGCGACCTGTACCCTTGGTTAAGTAACTGTGCGATTTGCGTTTCTCCTTTATTATGCTAAGAAGGTAGACATTTTCCGAATCGAAATTCTGCTTTTACATAGAGAAAGTATTGCAGCAAAAGTTAAAACAAACTTTTTGTAGTCGTGGATCATACAGAGATTGTGACTGAAATTGCTGCATATTTAATAAAAAATTATGCATGTTACGTACGTTTGATGTGACTATAAAATTATTATAATTACTTGAATGTTTTTTATATCGCATCCCGAACAGCACAAAATCTCCAGAGGATGTCTTTGGGACATTCTCAGGACATATTTAGAGTGAAAGAGAAAGGATGTCCTATGGAGAGCTATGCTGTTTGGGATATATCAGTTAGATCGTTAAATTTGTACTATTTCCGTAATAAATAATACTATTTCTATTAATAATTATTATTTCTGTAGTAATAATATAATTTATGCTACAATTGCAGTACAATTCAACTTTACAAAAAAAAGCTTTATAAAAAAAAGTATAATTTTAACGTGATCTTTGCTGCAATATCTTCTTTGTGTACATTAATTCAACAAATTCCAACCAACTTGAAGTATCAATAGAGGATCTCGAGATGCAACACTATACAGACTATTGTTCTACCTTAATGTCCGTCACTCTCGGTAAGCTCGTCGGTGTCCATAAAAGTCGGAAACACTCTGCGTAATAAATAATTTGCCACACCTGGAGCTGTTTCGCTGCCCGCGTACCGGCATCCTGCGTCCTGCATTCTGGCTTACCGCTTCAGCATCCTGCTTCCGGCTGCCTCCTCGCGCCGAACACAAATAGTGACACTCGCGCTTATATAGATTCAGAATCAGAGAAACATGTGTCAACTAACGCGATCCTGAATAGATCAAATATCTCAGTAACCAATGAAAAATGTACGATTAAATATTTCAATAACCGACAAAAGATTTCCGCTACACCTAACGGGAATTGTAAACAACTCGCCGACACACACGCTCCGCGTCGCGATGTGTGCGTAAATAGTACATACAGAGACCGAGTGGTGAGGAATGGCGGCCGACGAGAAGGTGCACGTAGAAAAGGACTCACGCTGTTTCGTGCCGCCTGTGTTCACTCTCGTACGCTCTGAAGAGAACGCAAAGGGCATAAAACAGTGTGCGTCCTTTTCTACGTGTACCTCAAACCCCATTCCTCAAACAAAGGGAAACACTCGGTTTAAATACGCTACGTCCATAGTGCGTTGCTCGTTGGCGCGAGATACAATGACACGCTCGCGGACAAGTACGCGACGCATGGCGGTATCAAAACAATGGACACCTTCGAAAAAATCAAAGTCACCTGCCGTCAGTTACAAACCGTCGTTGCTCAACAATCAGTGACAAGCATGCGCAGTGGCTAAGAAAATCACAGCAATCAATGTTCTCGATGTTCCTCGAAATATTCCGGAATATTTTAAGTGGTCAAAAGTCTGTTATCAAATTGTCCAGCCATAAATGATTATGATAATTTTGAACGAATCGAAAGTGTAGCACTCGACATTTGTCGTTGATTAACGGGCGCTCTTTAATTTACAGTAATGCTTTTCTGATTGACTCCTTCCGAGATCATGAAGCGAGATAACCAGGAGTTAACTGTAGGACAGAATACAGGACGCAGGATGCAGCGGCTGTCGCAGGCTTACTCCTCCTTTTCCAGCCCTATACTTGCGTCTTTAAATTCTACTGACTATTATATAATATAATATAATAATATATTATATAATATAATTCTATAAGAGAAAAAAAAACTGGTTGTTTTGTATACTCACTTACCTATCAAAATCTTCATTAAATTATTTAATATTTGCTTATCATTATACTCTATTTGTGAACAAATTACATAATCAATACATTGCTGACTAATATTAAGAATAAGGACGAAATGCAGGTAAAGTTTTAAGATAACCAAATATTAAATAATTCCCGAATGTTTCATTATACTTTGACAAAACGCTATGTAATACTAGCATTTGTAGCATTGAAACTTAACAGCATTGACGTGAATTGTATATATCAAAAGCTTTGAAGGTATGTACTTAATTAAGAGAAAGATAAGATCTGTGCGTTCTTATAGTTGCACAGTTGTGCAAATAAGTCTGAATGGGAGGATAATGATGTTAGGTATTTGGGAATTTTTAAAGGGAGGGATTAATTAAATAATAATAATTGGGACTCAGAGGGTCGTTTTTTGAAAGTTTGACTTATCGCGTTATAAAACCGGAAAAATATTCGGCGCCTATATATATAACACTGTCAAACATTATTATCCTCCCATTCGAACTTATTCACGTTAAGATTAGCGCGCGACCCTTGTAGGCCTTATCTTTTTCATAAAATATATTCCCAATTGTTCGCATTGGGACAAAATGGCGGTATGTAATCATTTGTATCAGTAAAACATAAAAATACAATGTTATACCTCGAGATTCGCCACTGGTCCTCCAACTTGACGGGTTTAATGTAGAACCGGACTCCCCGACTGAAACATCTCAATCGCCGTGGTCGGCGATTTTTATCCTACCGCTATTAGACCCGACAGTTACATTCGATAGAGACAAAGGATAGTGTCGTATCGCTAACATCGATCGCTTGCGGTCTGCCAAAACCAAAAGCGCCGCATCTCGTCACGGCTTGGATGCAGCTTGACCCGCAGCGCGCCGGGGAAGCTTTCGCGAGAGAGCTCGATTGCGCGCGCGGATTGATGATGTATCAGCGTGTGCTCGCGATCTCTGCCGTCAGCCCGAGGTCGTTCTCTTACATCAAGCTACAGAGGGCAAATCCTTGGTCGAAAGCCGACTGCAGTACGGTCGTTTCCATGCAGAACGCAGCGTCCTCGTACATGGTCGCGATTCGTTGCTGCTGAACCCGACTCACGCTCTGCGATCTGCAACAACGACGTTTCATCGGTCCCGAGTTAATCCCATACCGAACTTCCGCACCACTTTCTCTCTCTCTCTCTCTCTCTCTCTCTCTCTCTCTCTCTCTCTTCCACTTTCCGTTCCCGTTATAATAATCGTACTCGCGGTAATACACATAGCGCTACCAGAAACTCCCTCGTCACAGAAAGATCGACTCGTTGTGGTAATCGCGGGGATCAGCGAGCGGCGGAGGAAAAGCGCGCGGAATCTGGAACGGCCTCTATTTGCATAACCGCCGCCTCTCGATCGTTCTTCCGAATTACCACGATCCCACCAGAGCGGCCCTCGGCACCTCGAAATATCCCGACTGCTAACTGAATGTACCTCTCGCCGGCCGCGTTAACTCCCGACGGTGCCGTACTCCGCATATGGTCACCTCAGGAAGCGGCGTGAATTATTCCACGAGCGAACTCGGTCGCGCGAGATACTCGTAGTCGAGACCCGGCCCTTACAACACGCCTCTTCGGCTACTCACCTGGGAGGCATTGCTCGTGCACGCTGCTGCGCTCTGACCTGCTGTTCCCTCAGGGTCTGCTGATTCGACGAACAAGACGGGTCTCTGGATTGTTGCAGCTGCTGTTGCTGCTGATGATGCTGATGGAGGTGGTGCAAGCCACGATCGGCGCTCTGGGCGAGCGTCAGCTGCGCCAAGTACTCGCGAAGCTCCGGCTGACTGGCCAAGAATTCGCGACGCGCCTGTATACTCGAGGTCGGGTTGGATGACGACGACGACGATGTAATCGTAATAGAGTCGGACCACGGCGGCGGCGGAGTGTGCGAACGAGACTTGTGACAGAGGTACTCCTCGTACGTCGGCGGCAAGCCAGTCTGTAAAGCGATTCGCGCTTTCGTTATTACCAATGCGCACTTTATTCGTGCAACAAAGAACGTTTGAAGCTGTCTAACTGAGATTCAAAAGCCTCTTTCGTCGTGTACAGCTTACAAGAGTTTCCCTTGATCTTGTTAAGCGTTTGTTAGTAAAATAAGAACAAAATGCTTGAGAAACTACTTGTGCGATATAAGCTTTATTTCTGCGAAACACAAAGTTTATTCTTGTAAAATTAAGTTTTTGTCAATTATCTTATTTATGTCTCAATTATTTATACTGTCAATTAAGTTATACTGAGAGAAAAACGCTTAAAAATTTATTTGCGGGATATATAATTCATTTCAGCGAAATAAAATTTATTTCTGTAAAATCAAGTTTATTTTTGTGAAATAAAGTTTTTGTCAATTATATTTTATGTATCAAAATTATTTTATACTGAGAGAAAAATGCTTGAAAATTTATTTGTAGAATAGAAGATTTATTTCAACGAAATAAAATTTATTTCTGTGAAACCAAGTTTATTTTTGTGAAATAAAGTTTTTGTCAATTATATTTTATGTATCAAAATTATTTTATACTGAGAGAAAAATGCTTGAAAATTTATTTGTAGAATAGAAGATTTATTTCAACGAAATAAAATTTATTTCTGTGAAACCAAGTTTATTTTTGTGAAATAAAGTTTTTGTCAATTATATTTTATGTATCAAAATTATTTTATACTGAGAGAAAAATGCTTGAAAATTTATTTGTAGAATAGAAGATTTATTTCAACGAAATAAAATTTATTTCTGTGAAACCAAGTTTATTTTCGTAAAATAAAATTTTTGTCAATTATATCTTATTTGTGTCAAAATTATTTTATACTGAGAGAAAAAATACTTGTAAATTTATTTGCGAAATATAAAATTTATTTCTGTAAAACCAAGTTTATTTTTGTGAAATAGATTTTTGTCAATTATCTTACTTATGTATCAATTATCTTATACTAAGAAAAGAGATTTATGAGATAAAAATTTATTTGGTAGAAATAAATTTTATATCCTACAAATATATTTTCAAGTATTTTTTCTCAGTGCAAGATAATTGAGTGTTTTTATCGTATTGGAAGAACAGAACGACGATATGATGTGGTTTGCAGCGTGTTAATGTTCTGGGAGTTTGAACGGGATTTTTCCAGGCGGAACTTTTTCAATTAGGAGTAATGGAAAGAACCCCCTTGCTCGAATTCCCTCTAACCAAGCCATTTTCGGAAACCCATCAGATTCGGATAGTGAGGGACGTGGCTATATTCGCCTCGTTCGTAAATAATGAAAGAGATCGTAGATAGATACGCGAAGTAGGTATAACCGTAATGCGTCTGCGCTCTCAACGGATCTATTATCTTATCTTTATAAATATTACGTTACCGTTAAGGGAGATAGGGAGCGAGAGACGAGTGGCTGCTGTGCTCCCCTCTCCCGCCGTAAATTTCGGCAAACCGCTTGAACGAAACTGGGGTATACCAATATAGCCCCGTAGCGTTCATCCTGTTCAACGAAGTTGATCGCGAGAGATTAATCTTTGATTAATTAACAGAACGCAACTTCTCAGAAATCTCTCAATGCTCGCGAGGCCGCATTAGGGCCGCGTTACCCGCAGCTGCATTTCCCGGTTGTGCTTGCTTGCCATTATGTTTGCATGACTGCGGTCTCGATATTCGATCTTCGCGTCGGTGTTGCGTTTCAGATACCAGACAACGATTCGTGAAATAAGACTATCACCGGCCGCGATTCCTTCCAGCTCGAGGCAAGTTCATAGACGTAGGAGTAAATCTGGACCAAGAATAAGGTATCTCCACAAACGCGGGATGTGAAGCTTCAGAGATGATGGGAAATTATTTTTTCAATGTAAATCATTAATCTAAAACTGCTAAAATTCTTAAAATAAAATCAAAGAACAATCATCAATGAAGCATAAAAGCAATAACCAATCAAGATAAGATGCACTTTTTTTATTGCACACAAATAATGCGTAATAATAGAATTTTATATTATTTATTTTATACGTTATGTGATAAATCAAGACAAGTCATGGGCGTAGAAATATCTGGACAAAGAACAAGGTACTCCTGTGAAGCTTCAGGGGTGAGAGTAAATATCCGTCGCGGCAATCTTGGTTGATAAAATTAGCTACAGGATGTTCTAGATTCGTCTTCGCAACGTTCGCGTAGAACATAGGATGGATTAAGGTAAACATAAAAGTCTCATGAAGTTTTGCGACATTCACAATAAATCTCGAAATATTAATTGAAGAAAATTGTTGAATAATCATACAATTGCACTTCTTCTTCTATGTGGAAGTGTAGAAAGTGGCGCTAGTTGAAGTTATATCAAACAGACCCACCACTCTCTTAAAGTGAATTAGTGAATAGTCACTGATATCAGTTATAATTATAGCACTGAGCAGTTTCAGTGCTATAATTGTAAATTAGTGTATATTCACTGCTTTCAATGATATTTCACTGATTCACTTTAAGAGAGTAGAGAAGGACACGTATGTTTAATGGCAATGATGTCTTACTTTATATTGGTGCTAATCTAGTTGAAAACATACTCGTATTCTGAAAACTCTTTCATCGATAAAAATGCTTCTAAAAGTGACTTGTAGCTAATCAAGAAGCTTATAAGGCATTTTTAGGAATATTTTTTATTGATAAAAGAACGTGGAGGTCAACGTGTTGAGCTATAAATATAACAATGATACTAACTAATCAGCGAACTTCAGACACAGCACTGCAAATCCGAGTGTAAGTTCTTCAACGTATAAGCATGTAATTGGCTGAAACTCTTCTCACACGTCTCTTGCGGTTTTAAACCATATTATTCAACACGTTTATGATGTATAAATTTAAAACTTTATACGTATTTGAGCGTATTAAATGATGGTAAGAAACATATAAAAAGAGATTCAACCAATTATACGTTTAAGCGTTTAAAAATAACACACTCAGATTTGCAGTGAGACAATACGTCAACCAAATATATCTATCCTTCAGACCTATTTTTGCTCCCTCCAATCTCTGATGGCTCATTCCAGCATATATAAAGCTCACTGATCATAATCCTGTTTCTCCTTAAGCTTCAATCCCGAGGAAATATGTTTCGTCCAGATATTCCTACATTGCAAAATGAAGTGATACTGAAGTGTGTTGAAACAACACGTAACACATTTCCCTACTTTCAACACGCCATACCGGCAGCTTAATTTAACACACGTATGCGTATCCCAGTCGCTTAATCTAACCTCAAACGGAGAGGCGATATTTGAGATTAGATCAAACGGTTGGGACACACATATGTGTGTTAACTTAAGCTGCCGGTGCAGCGCGTTAAAAGCGGAGACGTGTTAGCGTGTTGTTGTTTTAACAAACTTCATTTTCCAGCGTACGTCCATGCAAGTGCCGGACGTCTCGACGTGCCAGTGCTGTCCGATGGGTATCGTCTTCGTATTTCCCTTCCCCTTTATTCGCGCGCATCGCGTTTGCATGAAGAGAACACTTGGGCGCATCAAATATTCCATACCGGCGTTCCGGCCAGCGGTAAAATAATAATAAGTAATCACGGCGGTGGGGTATGCGAATAGCGTATTTATTGCCGCTATTACAAAAGAGCCGAACTTTGTTACCAGCGATGAATTAATTCATCAACGCAAGCTGGTGTAATGAAGTTAACCGCGCAAAATCGGCCGCGCGCCCCTCAATGCGCATTATCTCGCACTGGAGATTATAATGAAGCCACGAACTGTTTTTTAATATTCCTCTCAGACTCAAAGCGCAGCTCTCCGAGCCTTGTAACGCAGCGAAAAAACTTCTCTCTCTCACTCTCTCTCCATCTCGCTCCTCTCAGAGCCGGCTCGGCCCTCGCCGTATTATAATGTGAAAGCTTGCGGTGGTTCGCGCGAGCACCCATTCTCTCTCCCTTTACGGTGTCTCGTATGAAAGACGTGTGTGTATATGTGTGTCCGCGTTTAATCGTCTAATTGTCGCATAATGCTCCCGAGCTTAATGCTAACTTTGCGCTACTGAAGTTTCACGCGGATACGACTTTCATACATTTCCCCTTATATCGTGCCTCGTGTTAAGTACTTCTAATACACTTTCTTGATTTCGTCGATCCTCAGTGAAACCGAGCGATCTAATTGAGAACTTTGGCCGCGCGCAAGTTCCGTTTTTCGGGCAAGTTTTCAACTTAAGGGGTTACAGGAATTCTGAAAGGATTCAAAATTAAATAAAATTTGAGATGTTGTGGAACGTTGTAAATTAATAGGGGTATGAATTTTTTGTTATGTATGTCTGTTAACAATATTTTGGTATAAAAAATTAGATTTTATTATGCACATTAACATCACTGTGTCCAGTTTCAGTTCTGTTCTGCAAAAGAATCGTGTTTCTTACCACGATAACCATCTCGGCCTCAACAGGAGTGATAAAAAATCAGTATCAATATATATTTTTTTATTCATCAAAGTTGTAGTTATCGATTCACGGAGATTTCCCGTCAATTTCAAAACCATTTTTTATTCATTTGTTTTACAAGCTTCAATTTTTCAGTGAAAAGATTACATTTGATTTTTATAACCCCATTTTGCGAAATATTATTTTTTTCAAAATCCGTTCCGTGAAAACCAACAGTTATAACACTAATAAATAAAAAATATATATTGGTACTGATTTCAGATCACTCCTGTTGAGGCCAGGATGGTTACTGTTAAGAGGCATGGTTCTTCTGTTAAACAGAATTGAAGTGGACACAGTGATGTTGATGTTCATCACAAAATCTAATTATCTTGTAACAAGATATTGTTAACAGACATATATAGCAAAACAATCATACTCCTATCAATTAATTTACAACTTTTTACAATTCCCCAAACTTTGTCTAATTTTTACTCCTCTCAGGATGCTGTGAGTTTTTAAGGGATGGAAATTTAGATGGAGAGAAATAGCGCAGTTGTCTAGTTA